GGGGGGGGGGGGCTCCCCCTGCCTCTTGCCTTTCTTATGCCTTAACCCTTCGCCCCCCTCGCCTCCACTCATGCAGGCTTCTTGCTATACAGGCAACCCCCCCAACAGGCGCCTCCCTTCAGATCCCTGGCCACCCAAACCTCAGGCCCACCCTCCACCAACACCATCAACTCCGCCGGGCACCCTGCAGGCTTGGGGGGTTGCGGAAGGCACGGCCCACAGGGCACTAGGAGGCCCACATGTGGCTGAGGGAGGTGGGACCGGTGGGGAGTACCTGGGAGCCCCTCATCTGGCCTCCCCTTCCTCCTGCTCACTCTGAGTCCCCCCCCTCCCCCATAGGAGCAACAAGCAGGCCAGCTGAGGAGAGTCCCTGAGCCTGTCCTGAGGGCCTGTGAGGAGAGAGAGGAAGGGCTCCTGCTCCAGGGTTCCCCCGGGGAAGGAGGCAGGGAGCCTCCCCAGGGCCTTCGGAGAGCTGCCCTGCCGTCAAGGCACTGACAAGGTGCTGTCCTGAAGGCAACAGGTGCTGACCTTTCTGAGCATGGGTTCCTCTTGGCCCTCTAAGTCCTTGTAACACCTGGGTGCAGGGTGGCCTGGCAGGTCATTGTGCGCAGGCCCCTGCCTCCTGCCCATTCCTTATCCTTTTTTTAAAAAAACTCTTGCTTCCTTTTCCTCCTTCTTCTCTCTCTTTTCCCTTTGCTCTCACCCTCTGCCTGCCCCTCCCTGCCTGCTGGTGAACCTGAGGCCCCTGGAAGGAAGGTGACTGGTCAGCTCCCCAGTCTCAGGGAAGGGGGACGGCCGTGAGCAGTCACAGGGACACAGAGGTATCCAGAGGGTCAGAAGTCTGGAGCAGACTCGGCACCCAGAGACTTGGAGACCGGGAGAAATTGAAGCTGTGCCCCACCCAGCCACCCAAGGTCTCAGGGCCGATACCTCAAAGGCAGGAAAGGCCCAAGTCCCTCCCTCGGGTCTCAGAAAAATGGACAAGTCTACAGAGCCCATCGCCTGCTTACTAATGCCATCGCTGTCGTTAAGTGGCCGTGGTGATTAATTGTGCCTTTTAATAATTCATCATTAGCACGTCCACCACAATCTGGACAGTGTAGAAAGGGAATTAGTCTAAAGTGGTTAAGAAATCATGACACAGAAATGAAGGTTTCTTCCTATGCAAACCACCCGAGCCTCTGCGCTGATTGACGGGTGAGGCCTTGGTAACCCCCCCCTCTACCTGTGGGGAGGGGGCCTCCAAGCTGGCTCACCCAAGGCCCCACCCACCTGTCCTCACAGCCCCCTCCCTCGCCCGCACCTGTCACGCTAGCCAAAAGGGGTGACTCCAATTCTCACAGAGGCACCACACTTTCCACCTCTAGGCCTTTGTGTCTCTTCCTCTGCCTGAGCGGACAGCCCTTCTCAATGCCTGCTTAGCCCCACCGTCCAGGCCACGCTCAAACGTCTCATGTCCCCTCATTCTCCTGCCCAGCCCAGGCCCCGGTCTGCCCCCTCTCAGTTTCCCAAGCTCTCCACACCTGCAAAATTCATCTCAGCCTTACCGGCAGACACGGCCCGGCAGGGGCTGACTGAGGCCAGACATCAGGTGTGCGTGCCACATGGGGCTGGGCACCAGGGCCTGGGCCAGGGCTTTCTGCAACGAAGGACACTCTCTCTGTGCTTTCCAGTACCACAGCCACTAGCCACACGTGGCTATGGAGCCCTTGACATGTGGGTGGTGCCCCTGAGGAACTCAGTGTTAAGTTGTGCTTAACTGGGATTAATTTTTTTTTTAATTAATTTTTTTTCCAATATATGAAGTTTATTGTCAAATTGGTTTCCATATAACTGGGATTAATTTTAACAGCGACAAGGGGCCTGTGGCCACCGCATCTCCGGACGAACAAGAGAATATGCCTCTTGCTATGTATGTACAAATCCGCACATGGGGGCATGCGTGTGTGTGTGCGTGTGTGTGTGTGTGCGTGTGTGTGTCTGAGGGCACCTGAGGTGACAGCGCCCGGTAGGGCTGTGGTGGCGGGCCTGGTGTGACAGCGCTGGTGCTCCGTGCCTGGGTCACGTGGGTGCGAGGCCAGAATGTGGTTTCGGTGTGTGTGCAGGACAGGAGGAGAGGGGGACAAAGAGGCCATTGTGCCACATTCCCAAACTCAAGCCCTCCTTTCCGATGACATCACGGCTGCCCTAAATAGAGCTGCCCAGACCCGCTCCCCCAGACCCGGGCTACCCCCTGCATCGTGGTGCGGAGCCGGCCGTCCCCAGTACCGCTCCATGGGACTCACCTTTGCCTTCTCTGTGACGAGCCGGGCCACGTTGCCCTGGCTGACTTCTCAGCCGACTTCAGGTGGAAAATTCTAGAAAGGAAAGAGGCTTCGTTTGGATGTGTTATTGCTGCTGCCGCTCTCAGAACCCTGGGTCCCTTTGGTGCTGCGAGCCCACCTCCTGGCAGGATGTTTTACGACCGAAATATGGCGGATTCCCCCTCCTTTTTGGGGTCACCTCTTTACTCCTCGGCTGCCTGGGGACCTCCAAGACTTTTCTGGATGGACACGGGTGAGCGTGAGGGGGGAAGAGGCTGGGGAGGGGGCCGCTTAGCTGGAGTGTGGGAGCCTCAGGTGAGGGGGCACGTGGGGCTGTGTGTAGAATGGGAGCGAGCGTGGGGCTGCTCTCAAAACCAGAACCCACAGGGAAGGCTGCGTGGACGCCGGGAGTGTGGGCCGCTGTGTGAATGGGTGAGGTGGGTGCCACCCAGCCGTCCCAGTGTGGATGAGAGTGCGTCTCACTCTCTGGTGCCCACCCACCCATGAACACGTATGTCGGTGCTTGAAGGGGCCCTACACACGTGTGGGTGTGTTGGGGGTGGATGGGGGGCTTTTGTGGGGGGGGAACCGCTTCCCCCCACACACGACGGCAGAAGAGATGACTGTGAACTGAGAACATAAGGGTCAAGCCCTGGGGACGTGCGTGTGCCTAGGCATGACAGAGGGCACAGGAGGGCCTGCTGATGAATGGGGGCAGCTGATCAGGAAGGAGCTGGGAAAAACCAGGAGAGCTTGGGTATGGGCGAGACCATTGTCCTTGGGGGAGACCATTGTCCCAGGGCCAGCGGAGCCCTAGCACTGGTGAGCAGCTGTGTCTCTGTCCTCCTCCTGGTGTGCCTCCAGAGGGTACCAAGCAGAGCTGAGAGATGTCCACGGACCAGGAGGCAAGACCCCGGAAGAAGGATGGCCCTTATCCTTAAAGGTAAGCAGACCCTCACACACGGAGATTTCGATACCTTTTCGGAGCATGCGCACTGCCTGGAGGGAGGTGAGTCTGGCGCATGCAGGTGCTGGAGAGAGTGGGGGTTTCTCTGCCTAAGACAGTGGGAGGAAGAGGAGGACGGGGTGGGATGGGGACCAAAGCACATTTTAGAATAAGGAAGCCACATATTCAAGTTCTAGGTGACTTTACTGCTGTGGGCAGACCCCCACCACCCCCTCCCCCCGCCAACTCCTCAAGACTTTGGAAAACTCATGCATGCACAGAGGTCTGGTATAAGCCGGCGTTCTGGAGGAAGCAAGGAAAGGGGCCGAGCTCTGGGTCTGGGACGATCTGGAGTGGAGATAAAGGAAAAGCCATGAAGCCAGCGCTGCCCAGTGAAAACAGAAGGGAAGCCGCACATGTAATCTTTCGGTTTTTTGCAGCCGTCGTAAGACCACAAAAAGAAAACAGGTGACGTTAATTTTAATAACAGATTTCATGGAACCCCAATTTACCTCCACATAGCATTTCACTGGCCAGCAGATCAGCGCCAGGAAGCATGGGAATTTCAGCCTCCCGCCCCAAACTTGCAAGGGCAGCTTGAACCCTTCACAGGGTGCAGAATGTAGACCGAGCTCATGTAACCTGGGCCTTGGGGGCCAGGGGGACCCCCCGGGGCCTCTGGTGCGGGGGTGATCATGCGAGTGCTTGTATGTGATAATGTCTCTCCACTCCTGGGCGCTGCGAGATGCCAGACACTGATCGTTATCACCAATCCTCACAACGGCCCCGGGGCACTTATGATTAATGTCTTACGCGTAAACTAGCCGTCAGAGCCGAGATTTGAGTCCCGCTTGCTCTGATCCCAAGTCCCAACAACACAACACAGCCTGTAAATGGTGTGTGTGTGTGTGTGTGTGTGTGTGTGTGTGTGTGTCAAGAGAAAGGGAGACACACGCCATATGGGGACTGAGGCAGGCTGTAGGCAGGGCCCTGGGTCCCCGCCCTGGCAGAGATCCTCCT